GAATCTCTCTGAACATCTAAACTGTTCAAGGATTTCAAAAGCTGCAGTAAACGTCTGTTTCCACTCACGGTGTACGCCAGGTTGGAGCGCCTGACGACGGTGCTGCTTTTCTCGCCGACCTCCAGCGACAGCGAGGCCCCTGGGTCCCTCCGAGGCCCGTCGCCGCCGGCACCCAGCACCACCACCTGCACCACCGTGGTCGCCATGGAGATGCCGTCGCTGACCGAGAAGGTGATGGCGTCGTCCTGCGTGGAGAGGCCGCCGTGGCGGTACAGCAGGGCGTTACGGGTGACGTCGCTGAAGGTGAAGACGTCGCCTGAAGAGACGCAGGCAGATCGGAAAAGGAGTTCAGACTTACAGGGAAGCAGATGAGAAGTTTAGAGCGTGAGCGAGGACACAAACAAAAAGAAAGTCATTACTCTGTAGCTGAGGCAGAACTTGCTCTAATTTTGTACAATTTGCAGTTAAACTCAATCTCCTGCTAAAGCTTAGAACTTGAAATGATTTGTGTACTTCCAGATCTATAAATAAGAGACAATAAAGTACAACAGAATAGAAATACTTCATTAAACCTCAAGGGGAAATTCAGTTGTTGCAGCAGAAAGAGTAAAGTTACCATCACAATAAATACAGATAAATAAGCAAAAAACATGCAGTAAATGAAAAAAAATGCACAATAAGGGTAGTATACACACTAGGTAAAGATGTCCTATGTGATAAACTCTAAAATAAGAATGTACAATTGATAAAATCCAAATAAAGAATATATTTGCATATAAATCTACAGGTCTGAACCAAACTACAGTTTTCACAATTCTGAACCTAATGTTCAGACTGCTAGGTCTACCCATAATACCACAAGAATAGTATAAAATAGTATAAAAGATCGTTTATGAAAAGTAAAGCCAGCATGGAAGTCCCTTAAGTTGCAATACCATTAAGTGCCACTAGGTGCTGGCTCCAAAAAGCTCTGGCTCCCGTTGACTCCAATTCAAACATAATTGTACTTTTATTTTCTTTACTTGTCTTTTATCTGACTTGTGTAAACACTGCCTGAAGTTCAGTGGAAAAAACTCTAAATTTGTTAGTTACAGCACCATCTTGTGGTCTAATAAATTTGTTATGCCCTGTAACCGTACAGGTCTGTGGTGTCCAGGGTCGACTGGTTGGTCGATATGCTCTCGTCCAACCAGATTCTCGTTGGTCAGACAATCTCGGGTGTGGCTTTTGTGAGTAGAAAAACCGTCCACGTCGACAGGCTTCCAGGAGTAATCCGTTATTTTTGGCAGCATGAGAACCAAACTACAATTTTTAGAATTCTGAATCTAATGGAGACTTTTAGATCTAACCTCAGACTGTATAAAAGTATATAATAATAGCATAAAATAGCATATAATAACAGTATAAAAGACGGTCTCTGAAAAGGAAAGCCAGTGTGAAAAAAAAAAGAAGCAATACCACTAAGCGCCACTAGGTGCTGGCTCCACAAAGCTCTGGCTCCCATTCACTCCCATTCAAACATACATTTACTTTAACTTACTTTACTTGTCTGTGATCTGTCTGATCTGGTTTGAGCAATTAGTTTATACTTGGCAGACTATTATTAATTGAGAAATGTAGAATAAACGGACTTCAGGCATAGCTTTGGTTAAATTTCATTCACGATCAGTTCAAGGACAGTCAGAACGCTGACGATTCTTTCTGTTTTTACAGTTTGAATCTCTGATAAATGTCTATTTTAAGCGTTTTTTTTGTTTTTAGATAACATGACTTTCTTGGGTTTAGAGGTGTGTTATTTGTGTGAGTGATATTTTACCGTTGGCCATGCGGGTGCTTGCGCCGCCCTCGGTTTTGACCAGGTCTCCGTGGATCGGCGCGTCCACCAGCTCGAACTCCAGCTCGTCCGGCGCTGTGTCGGCGTCGCTCACCGCCAGCTGCTGACCTCCTGCGAAGCCAAATTCACAATTAAAAACAGCACCGGAGCCTTCTCGGATCGCGTTTTCGTGATCGCCGTTTCCTACCGATGGACGCTTGACCTCCCCGGCCGACCTCCAGCAGCGGGTCCAGGACCTGAAACACCGGCGGCTGGTGGTGGTTGGACAGCAGCAGAACGGCGAAGTCCAGCTCGGGAGTCGTGTGTTCACCATCCGACACTGCAAACAAAGGAGACGCAGAAAATGGTTCCAAAGTAACGAAAACACAAAGAATCCACACAGGAAAGGGAGATAATCAGTCAGATCTGCACAAAGGCCTCAGATTTTTACAGAAAAGTAGAAGCGTTTATTACAAAAACTATAAAAGTCAGGTGGAAACTCATTGGCATTGACACACGAAAAAAGTGAAAAAAATCCAATTAACAACCCAATAAAAGGAGATGTTACATCAACGGTGGGGAGAAAAAAGCCTCTATCGCACTTTATTTAGTTAGTTTCATGCATTTTACTGCTTTATTCTGGTGAATAATGTAATTTGAATTAAAAGGGAGGAAACTTAAGAGAAAATGTGGGCGACTGATATTATATTTACTGAAGCGTGCTGCAAAAAGTGGATTTTTTACAGAAAGATAAATCGTCTAAAGCATTATTTCTGTTTGACTTTTAATTTCACAGCCGCAGAATAAAGTCAATTGGACATTTTGCTTTTAAATTCAAGTGGATTCGTCACTTTTCTCCAAAACAGAATCTTTGTTGGGTGGAAGATTATTATTTTTTTGGCCCACTACTGTAATATAATGAGATTTATTGCTCTGTTAGTTTAATTTAAATTACAGAAATATTACGATGGTGATAGGAAACATCTGAAGCATTATTTCTGGACAGACGACAGGCTTTTATTGCTCATTTTCTGGCCTTCGATGCAGCAAAAACACTCTCAAACTTGCATTAATTGAACATTTTTAATGAAAATAAGTGGATTTTTCTCTCTACCTGTTGGATTTTCTGCTCTGATTTGATATTTAAGCTAACTTTAACCAGAAATCTGAATTACAGAAAGATGATGAGGGTTATAGGAGACATCTAAAGGATTATTTATGTGCACTATGAAGGTTCAAAGTCAGATATTCTGATCTTTAACAGAGACTTTAATGCAAATATTAGTTACTTACTACTTATCGAGGATAAATGTTGGATGATGGATCAGTTTTTGAGATTTTTCTGGCTTTTATTGCTCATTTTCTGTCCTTAACGGCAGCAAAAACAGCCTCACGCTGGTATTAATGGAAGATTTATCACTACAGTGAGTTTTTTTTCTGCTCTAATTTAATTTAAACTAATTTTTACCAGAAAAATCTGAATTACTGAAAGATGATGAGGGTTACAGGAGACATCTAAAGCATTACTTCTGTGCACTGTGCAGGTTAAAAGTCAAATATTCTGATCTTTAACAGAGACTTTAATGCAAATATTAGTTCCTTACTACTTATCGAGGATAAATGTTGGATGACGGATCAGTTTGTAAGATTTTCTGGCTTTTACTGCTCATTTTCTGTCCTTAACAGCAGCAAAAACAGCCTCACACTGGTATTAAAATAAGATTTATCATTACAGTGAATTTTTTTTCTGCTTTAATTCAATTTAATCTCATTTTTTACAAAGAAACCTGCATTACTGAAAGATTATGAGGGTTATAGGAGACATCTAAAGCATTATTTCTGTGCACTGTGCAGGTTCAAATTCAAATATTCGGCTCTTTAACAGAGACTTTAATGCAAATATTCGACTCTAAGTTGTTGTCGAGGACAGGTATTTGGTAGAGGATCTGATTTTTCTGTACTTTCTGCCTTTTATTGCTAATTTTCTTGCACAAACAGCCTCACACAACATTTATAATTACAGCGCGGTGTTTTCTTCTCACCGGCTGGATTTCTGCTCTAATTAACTCGCTCTATTTTGATGTCATTATCAGTAGCAGGAGCTGATTTAGTTTTAAAAAAGAAATCTGAAGGAAGAGTGAAGTCTAATGGATGTTCTGACACGTTTAGCGCAAATATTAGCTTCTGAACTCTTAATAACTGATATAAATTGCAGCTGATTAGTCACCGTCTTTGTGCGGCGTCTTCTCTGAGCCTACAGTCGATGAGTCACTTCAGTTTCTGGATTTTTTTATCGCAGTAAAAACTTTCTCACGCTGCTATTAAGACGTGATTATTGGCTGCAGTCAGACGTTTTCTCTCCTCCTGACATTTCTGCCGCCCAAACTTTTAATTATGTATGAAAACTGAGCAGGAACTCAGCGTTTCACATCCCACACGCCGTTCCTCTGCACCGCCGCGAACCGCTGACCTGTTTACTGTACGCGGCACAGATGGACCGAGTCGGCTTCTCGCTCGTTTTATTAGCGGTTTAACATCTGCTGCACGGTGCGCGTCTGTCTGGGTTTTTGCATTTCACGTTAAAAATCTGCAGCATTTGGAGAATAAACTTGACCCCGACGCGTTAGAGCCGCTCTTTCTGTTGCTGATTCCAGATTTCCAAACAATGTTTCGCCGCTTTTGACTCGTCAGCCATCGTCGGAGAGGTCTGGGTCAGAAATCTGAATAAAAAATAGTTTTTTAAAACAACATAAGGTCTCAGAATGATCGTCGTTTTCTAATCATTTGCAGAATCATATTTCAGAAACTTTAAGTCGAATCACAACCTGGGAATCTTTACAGACTTTTAAACATTTTTATTCGACAATAAATAACGAGCCACTTAAACTTCAAATTTCTTTATAATGAACTAGATTAACTTTATGATGAGTTGTGGTTTTACGACAGGAAACATTTCACATGACAACAAGACGAAACGTTTCTGGTTCGTAGGTTGAAACTGCATGAAAATATCTTGAATGTTTCTCGTTATAAAGACGTTTGATGGTATATTATGATCTGTTTTCCTTTTTCCTGTGTGGCATCAATATTCTGCTTTAATCATCATAAATAAATGAAATAAAACCTTTTTTGTTGACAAATCCAAATCTGGCAGCTGACGTTTGTAAACATGAACCGATTAGTTATCAATTATTGAATCAAGTTTAATTATGGGTTTATCAGTTTCACTAAGTTTTTAAAGAAAAAAAGTCTGACTACTTCGATCATAGCTTCTAAAATAAGAGTATTTTCCATTGTCCCCCTTTTTTCTGACGGTTAACTGAACACTTTTCGACACTTTCTGTCACTTTATAACCCAAACAATCAAGAAAACAATTAACAAATCGTTATTTGAAGCGTTCCTTACATGTGTTCCATCGACCTGAAAATCTCAAAACTCAAAAAACAAAACAGATTTGATCAGATTTGACATCATCCCCACTAAACATGAACCTTATTTGGAACTTAGTTTGACTTATTTATCGTCTTTATCCCAAAATGTTCTGGTTCTTTTGGTTGTCTTCATAATAAACTGTCTTTTAGACCTTCTTTAGTTTGTCTGTAGCTGGTTTTCCCCCATTTTAGTTCATAAATCTTTTAAATATAATGTTTGAACATGAAAACTTCAAGATGAAACATCAGAAATACTGATAATAAAAATTAAAGATGATCTCAGAGAGAAAAATCGTTGCTGTTTTAACTAAACTGTTTTGCATTTTGTTCTTCTACAGTTCTGACACTCAAATATCTGATTAATGGTTTGGTTTACTTTGATTAAATGTCAGGATACAGCAGAATATTTTCTTTTTCATGTTTGGGCAACACTCCAGAATCTAAAAGTCAAAGCTTTCAATTAAATAAGGAGAAAAAAAAGTGACAATTCTTTCAATTAAGAAGCTAAAAACAGACGCAGACGATTCTGAAAAGGATCAATTAATCAACGAATCGACTGATTATTCTGCAGCACTTTCATTTCAAATAGAGGAAAGAAACTGTAAAGACTGACAAATAACTTTTCCTCCAATTTAAATTAAATCATAAGACTCACTTTTTGTTATATTTTGGGATATTTTTCCTGCAAAAATCTTTTTTTTTAAACTTGCAACACCTGTTTGTCTGTGAAAGCTCCTCTATCAATAAAGTTATTATTAAATGAAGTCTATCTCAAACGATAACTGACTCCTGGTTAGTTTGTTGAACAGACGTCTAAAGTTTAAAGTCGGAGCTGCAGCAGGGCGACGCTGAAGTGAATAAAAAGCTCTTTGAATGAGCATCAACACGTATCTCCACCCAAACGTCTTCAGAAGAGACTCGTTTTAATCTGCAGGTTAAAGTTCAACGGGCCGGATCGAGGAGGATCTGCCAGATTTGTACGAGCCGGATCGAGGAGGAGGAGGAGGAGGAGGAGGAGGAAGTGAAGAAGAAGAAGAGATTTAGAGCGAAGGCACCAAGAGGAGGAGATTAACTTCAGAGCTGAGAAAAGATAAGAGGGAAGAGAATTAAAAAAAAACACACAAAGAGGCCGGGAAAAAGAAATCCGAGGGGAGGGAAGACAAAGGGCACTTATGGTGAAGATACAAAGGAGGAGACGCCAAACTGGGAAGGAAAGTAGGAGGAGAGCGAATCAGACGTGGGAGGAAGAGCTTTAATTGGACCGGAAAGGAGAAAGGAAACAGATACAAGCCTCTGAACGCCGAGCGGTTGTTTTATTCGCTCCGTGTCTCATTTTTACTCACTGTGGGCTCATTTTTTTACTAGAATATAAAGTTGTGAACCTCGATGGAAACAGAACAACCAGGACTGGAAGGAGGGAGAACCTAGGAATGTCCTCTGTGCAGCATGACACAATTAAAACGCCATGAATCATTTAAAAAAAAGAGGAAAAGAAAGTTGAAATTATGATTATTTGTTTCACAAAAATTCTAAAAATCTGGCATCAACATGTACATTTTTACAAGCGCCCACAGACGGTACCAATACTGAATAAAAATAACAATAAAATAAAACCTGGTGGCTCCACAAACTACAGAAAGTTTACATTCTTCATTTGTTTTCATTCTATCTAGATTGAAGACCTGCATAAACACAATCACACAGAGAATGAGTGAGATGTACTGAGCACCTGGTCCACACCAAAACTATGAGAAGAATAAAGAATGAAAACACACAAGAAATATAGATATAGTGCAAAAAAACTATATTTAAACAAGGTTTGGTTGTTCTTCTGTGTAAATACTGGCTGCAGTTCAACCAAACACTTCCCTGAATTGTCATCATGTGTCTGTTGGTCGCAGCTGAGCTTCAACAAGGAATGTAGTGGGTTTTTTTTTGTTTGTTTTATAAATGTGGCACTACTTATCTATAATCTGTCTCTTTGCTCTGTGGAAACACTGCCTGCAGTTCAGCCGAATCATCTCCATTTTAACTTTTCCCATGTGACTGTTGGTCATTTATGACTTTGTGCAGAAACCTGCAGAACTTTGGGTTTTTACTGAATCTGATTACAGTTATTAATTAATTTTTTGGCAAATTTCTCAACAAAACATGTAGAATAAAGTGGTTTTGATGAAATACTTCGACTTTAAGCTTTGATTTGGTTCATTTTCCTGATGGAATAATGGAAATCAGAAACATCTTCTGTGCAGCATGACACAGTTAGAATCACATCAATGATAATAAAAAAGAAATATTCAAAGCTGATTATCTTTTTCCTTTACAAAAAATGACTGAACCATCGATAAGCACATTTTCCCAAATAATATATATAATATCTCCAACAACTGGCTCCTCGGTTCACTGTTTCTGAGTCAAGCTGCATTTATTTATTGAACCAGTAGGTTTTATTTTGCCCTCAATTCCTCTAAATTGTTTCTACGGGTTGAAAATTAACCAAGAAGTTCCTGAATTTTTGCTGTGTGACTGTTGGTCGCAGCTGAGTCAGTCATAGATCCTCATTTGCACTGAGAAGCCCAGAATTTTTATTATTTATTATTTTTTTAACAGAATTTAGTAAATCCTTAAATGGAAAATGTTGATTAAAGTGATTTTTGTGAAATATTACAATTTTAATTTTTTATTTTAACCTCACTTAACGTGATTAATTCAACATTAATCAACAATTCTTTGTGTTTTTACAGTTTCCTGCTTTGATTAATGCCGTCAATTTGTTCTTAAAAATCCTGAAAGGTTTTGGATTTCAGAAGCTGAAAGTGTTAAAATAAGTTTTTCTTTTCACTGCAGACTCTTTGACTGCATTTGAACCGTCAGAAAAGCTCAAAATCAGTGGATTCTTGATGATAAATGGAAGAATTTTGACATTTTTTGAAACAAGAAAGCACAAAGGGTTTAGAAGGTTAAAAAAAAAAGAGTAAAAGCTGAAAATACAACCAAAACTGCTGGTGGAAGAGAGCGGAGGAAAGAGGAGGCAGCATGTGACACGTCGGATTTATCCTCGGCTGACAAACGGCGGCGGGTGTGATGGATGGAGGATAATGTGAGGAAGAGGAGGTGAAAGTTTGAGCGAGAGGTCGACAACGATGACAGGAAAAAGAGCAACAGAGTGGAGCACCGGGGAGGGGAAACCAGGACGAGGATGGAGGGAAAAAAGATAGCAGGAGGTGGAGGAGAGGAACTAATTTCCTCCTCCTACTGGGGAAAAAAAGAAAAGAAGATGAAGTGTTTACCTGTGAAATAAACGCTCAGCGACTCCGGCAGCCCTGTTGGGTAAAAAAAAACAAAAAAAAAAAACAGTTAGAGCTGCGAGGTGATAAAAGTAAAAGAGTGTGGCGCTGACAGGGCGCTGCACCGAGCGTAAAACTCAACCCAGCCAGCATAAAAGTCAGGAGGCGATGAGGATGATTTAAGCGACGCAAAGCTTCCACCGGAGCTCCACAAAAACCCAGATTAAGAGAAATATAAGTCAGCTTTGATCTTGGATTATGGATTATGTCTTTTTTCTTTTTTTTTTCTGGGAACGCAGGTCTCTTAAAAAACGAGGCTCCTTTGAAAACCGCCCTCGGATTGTTTGTGAAACACTTGAGACTCGTCTCCTCGCTCGCCAGCTCCATTGTGGACGGCTTGGCGGCTACGCGTCCACGTAAACCTGATCCAGGATTCACGGAAATAATTAGGAGGTTTGCACAAGTTAGGCAAATTTGCCTTTCTGTGGCAGACGCGTAACAAATCCCCCGGCTGAGGAATTGTGCAGTAAAAGCAGAATTTTAATGTTTATCACACATTGCAGGAGAAACACTCCTCCTGAGATCTGGTTCTCACATTCTGAGCTGAATAAAGTCAGTCACGCACCTGTTTTTTTTTTTTTCCAGGTTTGACGACTGCAACTATCTTTTATTTCCTGTTCTGGCTTCATTCCAGTAGCTCTCTGTTTATTCTAGAATTTATTCTAAGACTTCACCGAACACTTTTAAAGCTCCATCGCTATATAGCAGAAATGTTTACCCCACATAAACCTGAGATCCTCAAGAGTGTCAAACTTTAATTTGTCGTATTTGTCAGCACCAACCTCAGCCTGATCCGTTGTTTAGGTTTTCTGTAACGTGGGTCATAAATCGGTACTTATTTGTGCAGTAATTGACCAACTGGTAAATAAGTCAGCACACTTTTTGTCGGTCATGTGCTAATGTTGGTTATTAAGCCTCACATAAGTCTTTGTCAAGATGCCCCTTTGCTAGCTAACCTCCCACGATGCTATGCAAGCTCTGCTCCACCTGGTGGAACAACCAGGTACTGCAGCTAATCTAGACGAACACTGATGACTATCGCTGCCAACTAACTCTGTAAATGTCAGTGTAGCTCCTGGACATGAAGCCATAAACCACCACCACATGAAGTTTGAGACAATAAACTCAAACTTACGTTTTGTCCTTTGAAAGCTGCTTGAATGGTGCTGTAATGATGTTTCGGAGACTTAAATTTAGCAGGAATGTAGCAAATGCTAATGCTTGCTTTATCGCTCACAAAGCCTTGGAAACATGAATATTTAATGTGGAAAAATTTTAATTTTTTATGGAGATGGTAAAAAAAAAGGGATAAGAAACTTTTAAATATGCTTCAATAGATGTGAAGACGTTTCCTTCAAAATGTTTCAAGGAAATCAAAAACATACAGTTAAATTTTTAAAAACTGTGGATTTTCCAGCTCTGAAGCTAATTTTAGGATTTAATGACATTTTGGTTTGACAAAACTAAATTACTTCTGTGCACAATTTTTTTTAAAAAATTGGTTGGAATTCAGTGAATATTAGTGGAGATGTGTTTTATTTGGATGATAAATTACAGATTTCTACTATTTCAATTTGTGTAAAATAAAAAAATAAAAAAATAAAGTAATAAAAAATCTGCATCAGCTATTGACTTGATTGCAAGTTCCAACTTTTTCTTGAGGGTCTGGGACGATTAATAAAAAAAAATCAGGCAAATCCTGTGAAAAATAAGCAAAAAATGCTTTAAAAGAATCACTGGAGTTATAAAATTCAACACCGAGGGCTTATTTTCAAAAATTCAAAAAGTATTTGGAGTAGAGCTGCAGGATTTTGCAAGATTCCATTTAGGTAGAAGTTTTTGCATGATTTGTTTTCCCCCAAAAAATCCCTGAAATGTGGGTGAACGGACGCAGAATGACCCGTCTACGAGTTCATATTTAGCAGTTATGACGTGTTGACCACTAAACTAATCCGTCTTCTGCTATTTCCAGTGATGGTGTTGACTTTTGATGCAGTTTCTGTAATAATGAACCCACAACCAACCGGATAAAACACTGACTTTGGATGTTTTAACACAAAGTCTGCTCATTGTTCACCAGATCTGGTGTGCGGTGCAGACAGGGGCTGAGTGTCGGTGTGTATACGATGTATAGCTTTTGTCCGGTTTGTGTGCTGAGCTCACCTATGAAGGAGTACTGGTAGAGCTCCTGCAGGTGTGACGGAGCCGCCGGCGGTCTGTAGATGATCTTGCCGTTGTTGACGTCGGCCTGAGTGAAATGCCTCGCCGGCGTGTACGGCCGGTCGCGGTGCTCGATGGCCCCTGAAAACAGAAAGCTAGAACTAATCCCAACAACCAAGAAAAACACCGGATGGGAAATAATGCAAAAAGACACAACAGTGACTAAAGGACGTTTAACCGGCGGTAGATTAGTTCATTAACCGACCTGCGGCTCCAAGCTGTGCAGACTGGATCATAATGTGGCCCGTTAATCTCACAGAATCATGAATACTCCCGGGTCAGGACTTAACTGTTCTAGTCAGTGTGTGAACTGAGAAAGGACCAGCATTCCTTCATACAGCTTCTATTTATCAGTTTTCCCAGCAGTTCAACTGGGATTTATGAGGAGTCCATTGTGCTTCTGCAAAGACTGTTGGACCAAAAACTAAATCAACTCTAATGTTTTGGTGCCACTTCACAGTTAAAAAATTAAATATAACAATCTAAATAACCAGATGCCGTTTAGCGTTCTTATTTCTTCTTGGCCGTCTTTTAGCAATTTGGATGAAAAAAAAAAAACATGTTAAAGAATTTTAAAGGAAAAACAACAATAAATCAACATGTAGTTGGACAGAAATACACATAAACACACTGCGAGGAGGCGTGTTCTCTCACACTATTGGCCTGTTCAGGGTGAGCATCACAATTAATACTTTTTTACAACCTGTGATTTTACTAGATATTATCTGTAAGTTAGCAAAACTGGGAAATTCTGTAAAATGTCAGTAAATATCATTAAAAAATCATTTACCTTTTTAAATCCCTAATATACATATTATTTCTTAAAAGTAGAGTCAAATATCTGTAAACTTGTGGGTTTTTATACCATAAAAATAGTGTAGCTTTACAGACAACATTTTGAAAAAAGATAAAATGAAGTTTAGGGGAAAAAACACATTTTTAAAACTTTTTTTCTTTTTTCCTTTTACCTCTAATAACACACATAATTTGTCTCAAAAACAATAACAAATGTCTGTAATACAGTGTTCTTTTTCTACATAAAAATTTAGCAATTTTGCAGAAATAAATTGTAAATAAATAAATAAATAAAAAGTTATGTATTATAAAAAAAACTATCATTTGTAACAATACACTTTTGTTTTCCTTTTTTTTTTGGACTGGTACACAAATAAAAATTTTTTTTGTGATTTTAGGAGTTATTATCTGTAATGTAACAAAACTGGAGAAATCTGTGTTATATCAGTTAAAAAATTTACATTTTCAAATCCCTAATTTTTCTTAAAATAATTTCAAATATCTGTAAAAACATGGTTTATTTTGATGTGATAAATATCATAGTAGTTCTGTGGTGAAAATTTGCTTTTTTTTTTGTTAAATAAAAATTTGTGTAATTTTTTTTCAGGTATGGCCAATTTTATTTATTTTTTTTAATTTTTTTAGGAAAATAAATATTTTTTCTTTGTGATTTTACTGTTATCTCAAATTCAATGAAACAGGGAAATCTATAAAATAACTTAGAATATATATAATATAATATATATTTTTTTAACTACAGTCGCAACTGTTAAAAACTGTGAATTCTGAACAGTGTACATTTTAAGCTCGATTCCTTTTCGCTTTGTGTCACTACTTAATTATTCTAAAGTTATTAATCTGCTTCACAGTGAAACTAATCTGCAGTGTCTGCGCTTTAATTCAACCACTGAGGTTCTTATTTCTGCTTCTGAGGGACGTTTGTGTGAAACTTTTCATTTATCTTCCAGAAGAATTCACAAAAGCTGGAGTCGGAGTGACTGGACGGAGCCTCCTCGTCTTCCTCCTCGTCTTCCTCCTCGTCTTCCTCCCGTTCAGAGCGTCTCCACACAAATTCATCAGCCCATTAGTTGATGAATATGACCCATTGTAAATCGCTTTTCCCTTTCATTAGACGGAGAGCTGAAAACGATGCAGCGTCCTGGCAGATGGTCCGGCGCCGAAATTAATGCATGCGCTTGTGAACGCCACATTAAATCGGGCTAAGAGACGAAATGCTTCTTGTAAAGTCCAAACACAGAGAGAGAAAGACGGAAATTAAATCATTCTCAGAGCTGCAGGTTTCTGCTCCAACCTGGGAAAAGCCAAATTTGAATACTTTCTATTTTCTAAGATTTAAGGAGGTTGTTCTGGACCGATTCTGAGCAGCTCTGGATCACGACCACTGAAGCTCTAATTAATGAGAACTTCTTCTGATTCAAACCCAAACTATAAAACCTGCTGATCATCCGACTCTCTCCGTTCTGACCTTGTCCTGGTGGAAGCGGTTTGGTGATGTTGTAGACGAGCTTCTCGTCGGGCGTCTCGGTGTCAACAAAGGACAAAGCTGAAGGCGTCAACTCAGTCACTCGATCCTCCAGAGCCTGAAGGAAGAACAACATGAAACTGAGAAAACACAGAAGACAAACCACCTGGAGGAAGACTTGTTGTCTGGAAATGAAATACAGTTGAAGTTTACATCCACTGAATAAAAAGACCTAAAACCTTTTTTTTTTTTCTCACTGTCTGACATTAAATCAGACTAAACTTTCCTGTTTTAGCTCAGTCAGGATCACCAACATTAGTTCTATTTGCTGAACACCAGAATAATGAGAGAGAGAATTTTTTATGACTTTCTTCAAAGTCAGAAGTTTACATCCACTAAGATGCCTTCAGACTATTTGTGAAAGCCCAGATGGTGATGTCATGGCTTTGGAAGCTTTTAAAAGGTTCATTGACAACATCTGAGTTAATTGGAGGCACACCTGTGGATGTCTTTTAAGGCACACCTTAAACACACTGCTTCCTTTTGTGACAACATAGAAAATCTAAAGAAATCAGCCGAGATATGATGAAGAGAATTGTGGACCTCCACACACGATTTCCAGATGCCTGAAGGTTCCACGTTCATCTGTTCAAACAATTATATCAGTATAACCACCATGGGAATGTCCAACCATCATAGTGCTCAGGAAGGAGACGGTTCTGTGTCCCAGAGATGAAGTGTTTTGGTTGATATGTGCGAATCAACCCCAGAACAGAAGCTAAAGACCTTGTGAAGATGCTGCTGAAGCTGGTCAGAGAGTCATTATCCACAATGAAACCAGTCCTGTACCGACATGGACTGGAAGGATACTCAGAGAGGAAGAAGACATTACTCCAGAAGAGACAGAAAAAGACAGATTACAGTTTGTAAATGCACACAGAGACAAAGAGCTTCATTTGTGGAGACATGTCCTGTGGTCTGATGGAACTAAAACTGAGCTGTTAATGACCATCGTTACATTTGGAGGAAAAAGGGGGAAGCTTGAAGCCTGAGAACAACATCCTAACTGTGAAGCACGGGGGTGGCAGCATCATGTTGTGGGGGTGTTTTGCTGCAGGAGGGACTGGTGCACTTCACAGAATAGATGGAATCATGAGGAAAGAACATTATGAGGAAATATTGAAGCAACATCTCAAGACATCAGCAGGAAGTTAAAGCTTGGGCACTAATGGGTCTTCAGATGGACAATGACCCTAAACATACCAGATTAGTCACAGAGAAGCTTCAGGACAACAAAGTCAGTGTTGTGGAGTGGCCATCACAAAGCCCTGATCTCAGTCCTGGAGAACATTAGTGGAGCAAGGAGACCAACAACCTGACTCAGTTCCACCGGTTCTGTCAGGAGGAATGGGCCAGAACTCATCAGACTGTTGTGAGAAGCTTGTGGAAGGAAACCCAGAACGTTTGACCCAAAGTCATACAGTTTAAAGGCAACGCTACCAGATACTGAGGAGATGGATGGAAAATTCTGACCATGAAGAAAGTAATAAAAAATTCTCTCTCTCATTATTCTGGAGTTCAGCAAATAGAACTAACGTTGGTGATCCTAACTGACCTGAAACAGGAAAGTTTAGTCTTTTAATAGGTGGCATCCTGCATATATGCAATGTGTGTTTAGTTGATGTGATTCTTGGTGTAATATGCAGCTTATTTAGCCACTTGTCATGAATTAGTCTTATTTCTACTTATGTATTTGGTCTCTGTGGTTGAATACCTGCTAATAAAAATCAATGTTTCTTGTGCGAATCCTTTATTTCCAGGATTAAACCAGGTTTATTTTTTTTAAAGCCCTTACTGTGATCTGCAGGTCGCAGTCCGGCGCCAGCTGAGGGAATCCTGGGATCTGAGGCAGAACTCCGATGGTGAAGGTCTGAGCGTCGCTTTGTACGAGCGGCGACGCCTCCGTGGAAACCTGAGGAAGCATGAAAAAGGCTCGCATTAGGAGATTTTGAATTTGCCTCTTTGAGAAAACGCTCCTTTATCTGCATCCTTCACACTCTTGAGGTCTGAAGTCTTAATCGGCCGCTGCGTTATCGCTGCTGAAGTCAAACACGACAGATGAGATAAAAACCCGGCTAATAACGGCAGAATGGAGGCTGCAGGACGCTCTCCATAAATCACACGGCGAGGAGGTTGAACCGACAGTCGGAGAGGAACAACCGTCTTATTGTCTTGTTGCTGATTCCAGCTCCTTAATACTCTGACTGCAGCAGCTTCGCCCCCGATCGCTGGGAAATCAATTAAAAAACAGTTTGAGAACATAATCGAGGCGGAGGAGGCTTCGTTAAGCAGCACATTGCACAGAAAACACGGTTATTAGGAACACACCTCAGGCCGGAGCTGGGAGCGCTCTGTGAAAGAAATGGAAAATAATGACTCTCAGCATCCTCCAATGATTCAAACTTATTTAAAACTTCCTGACTTGTACTTACAACAGATTTTTTTAGTTATTTTTTTCTTACACTTACCTGGAAATACCTTTTTTTTTTTAAAGTACTGAAATAATAATTTAACAATTTAACTTATAAGCATTCAGGGTAGAAGTGTATTCTTCTCTCTTTCTTGATTTTAACTTCTTGAGCTCATAAAATACATAAAAATCAACTTCATAGTATTTTTTAGTAGATTTTTCTTCTATTTTATGTGTCATCCTCATTTCAAGACAAGTGACTTTCCTTTTGTTTGTTCTCTAGTGTTTAAGTTCAGATGTATTTTCAGATGTATGTGTTTTAAACTTTGGTTTCTCGGCTTTTAAAAAAAGTGCTTCTGTCTCATTTTTACTCACTTTGGCTCATTTCTATGCAACATAAATAAAGGAAGAGAGGAAAATGTCTTTTGTGCAGTGTGACAAAAACAGAACGCCACAAATCATTAACAAAAGTAGATTTTTTTTACTTGATTCCTCATTTCACTAAAATTGCAGAAACCTGGAATCAACATGTTAAACAAACCAACACTGGAGGAAAAAAAGGAGCCTCAACACACGATAGACATCAAGCTATTTGCATTTTTAATTCGTTTCTGTGTTTGTCTCTGTTCTGTGTGAACACTGTCTGCAGTTCAACTGAAAAGTCTCAGATTTTTTAACACGTGACTGTTGGTCACAGCTGAGTCACGAATAGTTTCACAGTTGCGCAAAGGAACACAGAATTTTTATATTTTTGCAGATTCTGGTTAATTCAAAGTGTTTATTTTTGGCACTTTTTTTTCCATACGGCACGTAGTATAAAGTCATTTTGATGAAATATCGCGATTTTAGGCTGAGATTTGGTTGATTTTCAAAGTTCATGGACCATGTGAAAGTTGAAAATATGATCCTTTTTTCTTCTGCTTTTACAGTTTCCAGCTCTGATAAATTATAGAATGTCATTGATTTAAAAAAAAAAACAAAAAAATAAAAACAAAGTCACCATGGTTTGGAAGAAACTGAAGAAAAGATGAATAAATAAGCAACAGCCCAGTAGCTCAGTTGGTCCACAGCACAAAACATATTATTTTAATGTAAAATATGTGCAATGCCTTCGTTTTAGTAGCTCAAAAACATGCAAACAAAATACAATAACTGACATAATCAACTGACGTAACTTTAGTAAAAGTCTGGTCTCACTTTGACATGAAAGAGTTTTTTTTTAAAACTGTACATTCTCACCTAAAAAGGCAAATTAAATTGACCACGACTGAGTGTTTAAAAGCAATTTAAACTTCCAAGGAGGCTGAAAACTTTTAATAGGAACCTCATAGTACTTGATGAAAGCATCCCACTGAAGACACTTCTGCGTTTTTCCGTTTGAATCTTCACCCAAAGCCTCCTCTCTTTATTCCGTCCCTCTCATAAAGGCATTTTCTGGTCAGCACTAGCGAGTCTAGGTTAGCATTGAGAGGAAAACAATGTTAAAGTTGCACGCTTTCCTGATCCATCCAACGCTGCTTCTGGATTCATTTCAGACGGATGAATCCTGCTTCAGAAAGTCTTGTACGGTATTCGAGGACGGCAGCTAAAGAATCGAAGAAAAAAATTCTCCCAAACAGTGAAATCTTCTCCTTGTTCCTCTATTTCCCACCTCTGACCTCTCTACTTTTGATGATTTAAATCAGATTAATTGAATTGCTGATAAGCGGTGGCTCAGTCTAATCCTCTCCTGCTTCCTCTGCTGGAATGAAACTCGAATATTTGGCTTTTTTTTTTCCTGCCCACTCGACTTGAATCGTTTTGTTTTAAACTTTCATATGGAGCTGCTGCAGCCTCAAACCGTCGGGTCTCCTGATATGCTTGCAGCAGCAGCCGAGGCCTCCGTCCTTCGTGCTAAAAGCCAATTTCGGTTCTCCGCCCTACTTGCTCATTCTGCTGCTGCTCGTTCCCGTCACATCGGTGCCATTTGACGGCATCAGTGTCGAGTCAGCTGGATTTACCGAAGGCCAGCTGTAAATTATTGATCGCGGAGCCGGTTTCGATGCAACGCAGGCGACGTGTTGTGTTCTTGTGAGCTTTAAAATCCAATAAACTCTGCAGGGACGACTCAAAAAGACGTCAAAACACGACCGCACGACTGAGCTGTCGCATCTTCAGAGTAGCTCAGTGTAATGAGAAAACCCTCAAACTACTTCTTTGTGTTTCCATCTTGGTTTGTTTGGCAGCACAACTTAAGAAATTGACTTGTGCTTATTTAAACTAGACATGAAACTGAAATATTGCGCCTGATTAATTTTACATTTTCATTTCTCAGGTGTAGTATTTCTGTTTCATCTGATTTTTCAGTTGAACTAGTTCATTATCACGTCTGATTTTACTGATTACCTCGGTACAATTGCCAGCATTACTTTTCTGTTGTTCCATTCTGGCTTTATTTTAGTGTATTTAACTTACTTCAGTTTTGCATCATACTTCTATGTTACTTTATTATTACATAATATCTTATCTCGTTTTTTTTTCTTTCTGAACAATATCTGGCACAAGAATTTCCTTCGGGATTAATTTGATCTTTTCTTGTACGACATATATGTTATCCGGTGGCATTATTTATAAGTTTTTTATTTTTATTTTAACCAGTTGTTTTTACAAAGAAAAGTGTCAGCGAGAGTCTTTTACAATAGCATCCCGGATGTTAAAAGTATACGAGGGTAGGACCTTTACAGCTTCTTGTGTTTTCTTTGTTTCTGCTGGATATGCAGTTGTTCCGTAAAATATTATTAATTTTTACCGATAAACCTACAGATAAAAATAAACGCATGATATCATCCATTCATTCATCTTCATCTAGAGTCATGTTGTGGTGGCAGCAGCAGGCTAAACGTCACTCTGTCCAGCTTTGCCCAGCTTCTTCTGGAGGATACCAGAGCATTACCAGATGAGGTATGTAACCCCTGAGAGAGTTCTGGATCTGTTCTCCAAGTTGGACAACCCTGGAAATCCTCCAGAAGAGGCAGTTGAATCTGTTACCTAAACTACCTCGGCGGAGACTCTACTCTGAGCACCTCGACCTATTTCTAGGGTAGGGGTGTCCTGATTAGGTTTTTTTTTTTTTCATATCCCATCTGAGTCATTAAATATTTAGTATCTGCCAGTTCCTAATGTAATTTTCTTAGATAATACATGGTTGAAGTGTTGTAGATGTAGTACCTGGTTGTTAAATTAGGGGTTTAGCAAACAACGGGCACCATGACAAAAACTTCTGAGATGCTTAATGACCTCCGACCAGAGCTCATGCATTCATATTCCAGTGGCAAATGTATCAGAGCCGACTTTGTGGCCAAATCATCCAAAGTGTCCGTTAACTAAAACAGTAATGTCAGCACAGTAAAAATGTTCTCCTCAACAAAGGTTCTGGATTCGGTTGGTGCCGATAGCAATCAAATAAAAAAATGTTTCAGTCAAGCCAGATCCCAATTAGAGATTGGATCAGGATATTCCTAATCACAGGTGAGGGTTGGGACGTAGATCGGCTGGTAAATCAAGAGCTTTGCCTTCCATGATGGTCCAGTACAACACCTGCATTAATGCTGAACTAATCTACATTTCCATCTGATGCTACAATTCCCAAGACCCCTAAGATACCTAAACTTCTTTGCTTGACGCAGAACCTCACCCACAACTCGAAGGAAGCGATCAGCCACCTTCCAGCAGAGAAACATGGCCTCAGAAAGGAAGGTTCTGAGTCTGATCCCAGCTGTAAACCACACCGAGCTACAGTTCAGCAAAGACGCTAACGGAACCACATCATCTGCAAAGAAAAGTAGAGATGAGGTTCCCAAACTAGACAACCTTCCGACCCCGGCTGCACCTTGGGATCCAGTCTGATAGATTGCAAAACAGGATCCGCGACGATAATGGACGACCCCGGCAGAGTCCAATACCCGGCGAAAACATGCTGCAGAGAATACAGAAAACAATCCCAACAATGGCTGGATGGCTTGTAACAAGATCCCTGCTACCCCACACTCCTGTAATAACTGCCATGGTTGTAGGCCTTAAAACTATCAACAATTTAATGCAAAAAAAAGAAAGATATGTGACTAAAAATCGTTTAAATCAGAGTCAAAGGAAACTATAAAAGCAAAGTTTTGATACCAGACATAAACAAAGAGAGCCATCAGACTCGCTTTATGTTGCAATACCAAGTGCAACTTTTAATTATAAGCAGCAAACAGCACTTCCTTCCACTTTTGGACTCTATCTTTAGCATTTGTGAAGGTCTTTTGGGCCCATTTTACGCCTTTATTACACAGCTGATAATAAAACCGATGGCAGGACATGAAAGGAGAGAGATATGGCGAACAGCAGGCGATAAAGCTTCCCCCGAACCAGAGACGACGATGATGACCTTAATTCAAATTATCCACAAATTTAAAAGTAATTACAGATTAATTCCTCCTCGCGAGCGGGGTAAATTTATAGCACGAGCGTCCGGTTTCGTTGGACTGTTTCAGATGTTTCTAGAAACCACAAACTTCAAGAAACGTCAAGAGTTGCCGGGGAACTGAGATGTTGTTTTTGATTTCTGAACACGGTTTTTGATTTATGCATCGAGCGCTGTGGACACAAACCCCTGGTCTGTTGTGTTCCGCTGCAGAGTGAATTTCAAATCAATCAGTTCTTAGACAGAGCCAAGCACTTTGATGAAAAAGAAAACAGTGTAGGACAATAATACCAGCCTGACAAACTGTCAACTTTAATCGTCACCTCTAACAAACCGCACAAAGGCTGGCGGCGACTCGGTTTCGCCTCGCCTTTTCTTCGGCCCTTCTTCCCCGCAGAAACGATGACACACTTGAGGATTTAATTTGAGTTCTGTGTAATTGAAATGCATTTGCCCTGACGGATGGAGCCCGAAAATGTGGGAGGCTGGACGGAGGGGTTGAGGGATGATTAGATGTAGCTACAAGCTCCTGGCTCCCTCTTTTGTTTTTCTAATGGAGCCGAGGCGAAGCGGAGACCGGCGGGGGGAGAACGCTCTAACCCGAGCCGTGATGAATGTTCCGTCGGTTTTAGCGGGATCGTCTCGGATTTGGAGGCAATTTGCGAGTAATTTGGTGCCATTAGGCGCTAATCGAGATAAGTTGCTGTGGGTTTGATTTTCAGAGCCGGTGTGTCGTGCGGGCGGAGGAATCTTCTGCGGCAAAGAAAACACATCAGGAGACAAAAAACGAGACGTAAATCCTGAAGAAATCTCGGCTGCATTAACACGCTGTTGACTACAAAGTGGCTGGAGCTTCACCTGATGAGCTTTTTGGCTGTTTCAGGTGATTTCACGACATTTACTTCATCATCTCAGTCGTCAAAAGGGTCAGCTGTACATGCTGCACCTTTTTTCTTTCACAACAGTCGAGTTTATCCAGATCTCTCCTCATCTGATATGATAGTTCTTGCAGATCATTTATATCAGCCTTCAAATGAAAGGAAATACTATTTTATATTATAAAATTGTCATGTTTTTACATATATCTCACCATAATATTCTGCCAGCAGAGATTTCTTCACATAATTGTGCAAAAAGATTGTCTGGAATCCTGCAAAAATCAAAACCATGATGTTGGGAAACTGTATGACTATGAATTTGAAAAAAAAATCTGTGCTTTAATGAGCAGTAGCCGCCTCAGAACAACAGTGTGAGGTCTGTGTTGGCGAAAATTGCAGAAATCTGCTATTATTTTACAACTAAATTACTCTGCTGTGCACAGAAAAACAACTAGTAGCAGTGGAAAAAGTAAGTTCTGCTGTTTATTTTGATATGTAGCCGGCCTCAATAATGAAACAACACAAACTTCATGACTTATTCAACCGAGAATTAAGAGTGTGGCCGAAGAAAATAGTAAAAAAAATATTCCCTTTTCAAGGTTTGATCTGTCTTTATAGTATTATCACTTCAGTAAGTTCAAATATGTATCACCACAAAGCTCCAGTTCTGGTCTTTCTTGTGATATTACATTAAAAAACAATCATTGCATTGATATTATCATCTGTAGATATTGACGTATCCATGCAATGATTGTGATTCAAACATGCTCAGAGGTTGTCAGATGAATGCAAAGCTGTACGAAGGATGCAACTATGATGTCAATAAGGTAGGGCAGGACCCAAATAGCCGACTATTCGTTCGCTGTGCTGGAATCAGGATATCAATTTTGATCTCCGAATATCGCCCATCAGAGCCTGCGCCTTTGCCCTCCGTCGTAACGAATACCCACCCGCCACCACCGCGCGGCACCCCCACATATTCAGGATATTTGTCATTAATTGGGGCCGAATATCCGGAGAACAGAAATTGCCATTCGTACCAGCCCTACAATAAGGTCACTTTGTCGTACAAACTAAAACCGAAACCTGCCGGTGGTTGACTTGAAAAGCGAATTACGAAACAAGAACAAGAAACTTTAAAAACTAAAAGGATCGATGGATTTTGAATTTTCGGGTGGTTTCACAAACGCATGTCTTGTAGCGTGCAGCAGTGTTGGACAACATGAACCAAATCTAAACTCAAAATTGTAATTTTTGCAATAAAATCCCTTTGTTCTATAAGTCTAATTAAAAAAATTACCCAAAATAAACAGTTTAAATTGCTGCTTTTTGCAAAAACTGCAAATGTATACATTGAGTCATTTTAATAACGGGTGTGGAGCCGTTTGCAGGATGTAACTAAGGTGAAAGTTCATGTAAATTTAAGATTATTTTTGATTAATAAATCTTTATTGCACAGAAAAACATCTCAGAAGAGAGATGCGAATTTGGATGCAGAAGCAGAACAGTTTGGTAATATTTGTAAGAAAAAGTGGAGACAGTTAGAGGTGAACGAGAGATTGAAAGAGGGAATAAAAACAACTGAAGCCGGAGGGAGAGATGTCGTAGGTTGGAGACTGAGGAGGTGAACACGAGGGAACATGGAAGTACGAACACGAACTTCAAACAACAGCGAGAACGAGGACACGGGAGGAAAAAAATAATGAAAAAACCCCACAACAAGGGCGACAACATGCGTCTCTGTCACCGTCTCCTCCTCGTTTTTTCTTTTCCTTATCGCCTCCCGGAGGTTTCCCCCTTGCTGCAGTTTGTGTTTGTTTTCTTTTATCGGGTTCTTTAAATAATTCATGCGGTACAGTGGCGGTAGAAAGTACAGAAAACCTGGTCATGTCTTCACCCTGACAGCGTCCTCCTCCTCCCGGTCGCGCCTTCATAGACTTTACCTATTTTTCATTCAGTTTTATTGATTTTTTTTATTGATTTGTTTCACTGTAAAGGCAAACAAGAGAAAGAAAATCAATCCTCAAACCTTGAAATAACATCCGAAAATGAGAAGGATGAAGCTTAACTCCCACCAGCCATGTCTCATATCTGACTGTTTCCTATTTGCTTCAAACACCTTTACTGTTTACCATTATTATATATATATATTGTACATTTTCTTAAATAGTGTTCACTCATTTTGAGATTGTTCCAAAAGCTTTCCCCACAAACTGATTTGAAATTTGTATTTTCTCCAAATTAAATATTTCCATCATTGCTTGTGAACAGTTGTTGTATTTGCACCGTCCTGAAATTCACTAAATCAAGACATTTCTAAGTATTTAGTTTGTAAAAACAATATGTTGGCATGCTAATTAAATGCCACAACATGTACTCTCTTAATATATTTTTTTATATGTCTATAGGTTTTTGTAAGATGTTACTAGTTCTTTCAGTTTTTGTTACGCACTTTGTTAAGAAAAATGCCAAATAAGTAAAGTTCATTAGCATTATTACATATTATTCGTCCCTTTATTGGTCTACTAATGCAATCTTATAATTCATGGCTTATAATATAACAAATGCCTTCGATATTTCTGATATATTTTGGACAAAACTCTGATTTTGTTGGGATTTTCTTTGTTTCAATAATGACATCCTAGATTAATAAAAGTATACCTACTATCCCCACCACAACCCCTCTTCCATTTTTTCCCTTGTTTGGAAAATAAATAATCAAAGAAACTCAGCTTTTGTTCTTTGTTTTTTTTTTTTACATGTGATGCTTCAGACATAATTTGGACAAAACTCTGGGTGTTTCTTTGTTTAAATAATACTATGGATGCTACTCGCTTTAATTCTTTAATGGTTTCTGCTCATTACTTATGTGAAATTCTAACTCGAGGATTGGTTTACCTGCTCTGTTGAGGCTGAAGCATGTTTTTTTATTTCTGTTCACAGGAAGTAAGAATCGGTTCTGACCTGGAACTGGAAGGAGTCGCTACTTCTTCCGGTGCCAAAGTGTCGATACCAGACCGTGCCGTCGTTCACGTCCTGCTGGGTGAAAGAAGTCGTCGGGGTGAGGCCTCGATCGTCGGTTAGCGAAGGTTGCCAGCCGTCGGACGGTCCGTCAGATGGCATGGACACCAGAACCACCTCACCTGGACGGACGGCACAGAGTCCTCTCAGTTATTGTACATCAGTGGAGCCGAAACATACTTGTCTTTAAAGCAAAATTGTGGATTCTGGTACAAAGTTTGGGTTTAAATGCTAAGACGGTCACGTTAAGAGATTAAAGTTCGTGCTCAGGTCAACATAAGATGTGGTCGTAGGTTGGGGTTGGACATTTCACAGCATTTCCACTTTTAAAAACTAGTTTTAGGAACATCAACTGTTGGAAAGAAAGCAAATATTTGACATTTACAGTCGAATCCTGTAACTTCTTATTTTCCATGATGCAATTATTGAATCACATGAGTCTTTCTCACAGAAAACAGCCAACCATGCATTTTGGTTCCTTCATAGAATCCCTACAGTCAAGCATGGTGGTGGTAGTATCATGCTCTAGGGCTGTTGTGCTGCCAGAGGAACTGGTCCTTTATAAACAGTCAGTGGAATAATGAAGGAAGAGGATTACAGGAAAAAGTCATCAGCCAGAAGGTTGATCTTGGACACAGTTGGGAGTTTCAACAAAACAATGACCCCAAAGACACATCAAAAGTTGTAAATTAAAAAGGCTAAATCAGGTCAGAAATAAGAATTTGAAGGAGTTTAAGTCAGGACTTCGGGGAGACCAGTCTAAAACCTTCAATCTAACCTGATTTAACCATTTCTTCACCACTTTATATGTGTTTGGAGTCATTTGCTTGTTGGAACATCTACCTACAACCAAGATTCAACCTTCTGGCTGATGATTGTTGGTGGTTTTCTTCAACATTCCATTTACTTTTGTGTAAAGCACCAGTTCTACTCTCATCAAAGCAGCCCCAGAGCATGATACTGCCACCACCATGCTTGATGGAAGGCATTCAATCAAATACTCAAAATGCATGATTCTATCCCATCACAGAAAATCAAGAGTTTTAGGAATCTCAAGATTGCCATGAGATACGTGGTCGTTACAAATGCATGTAAATGTTTGTTCATCACTGTAAAACATCTTGTTCTTAAATAAATCACATCTGACTGAGTGTTAAAAGACTTTGTACCGTATTTCGGTTGCCCATCCAAGCCAAGGATGGTGTAGACGATATCATCAGCGCTGACTCCCTTGTAGTCCGTCTGCAGGTATTTCTTATCCAGGCGCACCATCCCTCCCTCCTTCACCCAGGTCTTTGGCAAGGACAGTACTTGAGGAGAGTCTGCAGCCTGAAAAGGAAAACATGAAGTCATTTTTAACTATTAACATTTTTAACAACACTTCCGAAGCCCCAAACCCAACAATGGGTTTGAACATTGCACCATTTACCGGATCGAGAAACAGAAAAAAACAGAGCGAATAGTTAGATTTCCCACTTTCTGAAGGTCCTTGAAGTCATCGCAAAAAAAACAAAACAAAATCTAACGTAAAGATTTCATACCTCATCAAAATCACTTCATTCTACATGTGTCCTTTCAGAATTCACTAGATACTGTAAAAAACAAACAAATCTGAGACCACTCGGCTGAACTGCAGGCAGTGTTTCCACAGCGCAGAGAGGAGACGACAAGAGAAACTGAAAATAAAATCTACTGGATCAAAAAATAAATAAATGCAGCCTGGTTCAAAAAAAGTAAACAGAGGAGCAAGTTGTGGAGGATACATTCAGCATGGTGAAACAGTGGAGCAGAGCTGAGTAAATAGTCAAATATCTGTAGTCCTGGAAACATGGACGTGTTGATTCTAGGCTTAAAATAATTTTGCAAGATAAATAAAGAGATTCTACTTAGATTTTAAAGGCTGTCATGTTTCCGTAGAGGTTCAGGACTTTATCCAATTAACTTCAACATGTTTTTGGACTGTGGGAGGAAGAAAACTTCTGGGTGTTCTTGTCGGGACGCAAACCAGCGACCTTCTAGCTGTAAGGCGACGGTGCTAACCACCGAGTCACCTTGCAGCCCTTCAGGACTTCATATTGCAGCAAAAACAGTGAAGAAAAACGCAAAAGAAACCACAAAACACTCAGAAACTGCTTGGAGTTCAGAGGGTTAAACAAGAAAATTTAAAAAAACAACTACTTTTCTGAGGACCAGCTCTTTAAAGTACTAGCATAACAAATTAAACTCTTTTTGTTTTAGTACAGCAGCAACTTAGCTGCAGTTAATTGAAGAACAACAACGGCCCGCCCTAATTGTTCTTTTTTGGGCGAAAATCTTAAAGCAAGATTGACCGGATGGCTACTTAAATCCAATCTAAAAACATAGTAGATGCCAGAACTGGATATCAGCTCGTCACCAGTACAGAAACAGAACATTGTTTTTATATTAAACTTGCTTGAAGTTGCAGGAAACTAAGCGTTACTCCGACTAGGAAATCCTTCAGGTGCAGCTTGAAGCCAGCCTGTGCTGTGAGTGACTGTTGCGTTGTTTGTTTTATTCCACCTCTGTTGTAACCCGGAGTTTGTGAAGCTCCGTCAATCAGAAACAGCGCATCAGAAACAGACTTCTCGGCCCCGAGACTTATTTTAGCGACGGCGTATCGATCCGAGGCAGAGTTTCCTCCTGCCAGAGAACAAAGAGCAGGATTAGCTGCAGAGATGGAGGATGAGTCAGAGTCGCTCGAGGACATTTCAGGGAAGGAAGATTCCTGCTGTCAGGGAGGTTTTCAAACTAGACCTCTTACTCACCGAGTCGCCCTGCTGTCTAAATAAAAACAGCTACGACATACTCCTCCAGAAAGTAGAAAACAAACCTGCTCTGCGGGGAAGACGGATAGAAAATAGACTTAAGACGGATTAGAGGCTCTAAATGCAAGCTTGCAAGATAAAAACATGGACTCTACTGATTTAGATAAACCTGTTTAGGTTGCAAACATAGTTTTGTTGCATCAACTTAAGACTGTGTGTAATTTAGACTTATGCATTAGCTGCTTTAACACTGAATTCAAGTCGAGGTAACTCAATGAAACTGGCTTTATGACTTCAGGAAGTCAAGTCCCCTATTTTAGACAGCTAAGACCAGTAATCAAACCTACCTTTGATTGCAGAGGGAAAACAAATTCAGCCAACTCAATTTAACTTGTTGGTTGAACACAATTTTATTAGAAGTTGTCATAACTCAAAAAATGTTTCTTAATTTTTGTATTTCATATAAATTTTCTGCAATTCTAGGTGAGAAAAAATCAAGATGACCACAAACACAAAATCATTTTGTGTTTGTGGTCATTTTGCACCACGTATCTGCCCATTTGTGTGTCTTTAAGGTAAGTTTGTGTCACATTTAGGTTATTTTGTGTCTCATATTGGTCCTTTTTCATCTCTTTATAACTGCACTGTGTCTTCTGTGTCCATTTTGCATGTGTTAGTGGTCATTTTGTGTTATATTTTGGTCTTTTTGCATCACTTTGTAACCACACTGGATCATTTCGGGCCCATTTTGCATCTCTTTGTGCTCATTTGGTGCCTCATATTATTAATTCTGTGTCCTTTTGTGGTAATTCATTTTGCATTTCTTTGGTGTTATGAGGTTTTTTTTCATTTTGTGTCACATATTGTCCATTTGGCATTTCTTTGTGGTCTATCGGTGTCTTATTTTGCTAAATTTGTGACCCTTTGTGGGAATTCAGGGTAATTTTTTGTGCTATTTTGTGTCAAATTGTGCTCATTTTGCACCACGTTTTAGCCTATTTGTGTCTCTATGAGAAAAGTTTGTGTCATATTTAATTTATGTTGCGTCTCATTTTGGTCTCTTAGCATCTCTTTGTAACTGTACTGTCTTTTTGTGTCCATTCAGCATGTTTTGTGGCTATTTTGTGTTATATTTTGGTCTTTTTGCATCACTTTGTAACCATACTGGATCATTTTGGGCCCATTTTGTGACTCGTATTGTTAGTTCTGTGCCCCTTTGTGGTAATTCTTCTTGCATTTCTTTGGTGTTAGCACTTTTTATAGTCATTTTGTGTCGTATTTGGATAATTTTGCATCTTTGTATGGTTGTTTTGTGTCACATATTGTCCATATTGCCTGTGTTTGTGGTCAACTGGTGTCTCATATTGCAAATTTTTTGTCCCTGTGTGGAAATTCAAGGTCCCTTTTTGTGATATTTTGGTCATTTTGTGTCCACAGCCGGTGATTCTTAAGTTTGCAAGCTGGAAACATGAACAGACAGTTTTCTGCAGGAGATGCATCGCAGCAGTGGAGCCGTGGGTCTGCTGCATGTGCGGGAGTCTGTGTTTGCAGATAAACGACCTGCTGACCATCTGCGGCTCCAAATCGCAGCAGAAGGCAAAGGATAGCGGCGGGAGAGCACATAACTCACGGGGCAGATTAGCGAAATACAGCAAGGTCTCTCAAGGATGTTCACGCCAGGAAGAAAAAAAAAAAAACAGGCACAACAATCTCCAAAAGCAAACTTTGTCTCTAATTCCCTTACATCTCCAACCTTCTCTGTTTTTGTTCTTGGCTAACGAACAAATCTAATGAGCTCTTTACATCCTTGTGAGATTCGGCCCATTAGATAGACTTAATCTCATCCAGACAGGTGCAAAGAAGACTCAAGTTTTTGACCTCCGGGAAAGAAGGAAACTGAATTTACTCGATGCATTTTTTTTAAATTGACAAGACAGTATAGAGGAGATTAGTTAAACATCAGAGGAGGGAGAAGAATCAGAAACCACTTAATTTGTTAAATCCGTTGACTCGCGGCCTCCGACGGTCTGTGAGATGTTCATTTAAGACTAAGAAAAATGTAAACATTCCTCTGGAAATACAAGCATGTCTTTTTAATTTCAAACAACTGGAAGAAATAAAGATGCATCGACTAAATGATGATGAGACATTAGT